AGCCGGACCACTTTAACTTTTTAATAATTAAAGTTATCTAATCGTTTGGTGGTCGTTTGGTGATGATTGGTAGCCTAATTAAAACGTTTGGTGGTCTATCGTTTTCTTTTATTAAATAATTAAAATATTGGTGTAAACCCAGCTAACTATTTGCTTGCGGATTGCTAACAAACGGCAAACAATTCCCTGTGGAACGAAGCTGCTAAATTCAGGGCCTACTGTGTCCTCGAGTGCGCCCCAATTGCAACCAAAAGTTGAAGTCATATCCTGATGTCAAATTGGGTACAACACCAGAGCAGATCTGTCACTAGCAGTGCGACGACAGATTGACGCAACAAATCGAGAGCAGGTTTGTCAACCGCAGACCGACAACAAATTTGCGCCAAATGCCCAGCAGATCTACGGCAATTTTCGACGACAAAAATTAGATCAGTTACAGTATTAATATATAATAATACATATTAATGTGTTAAAACATATAGGTAAATTTAAATAATTTGATTTATAAAATTAAAGATTTTTTTGGACAGGAATTGTCCGAATAAGTAAAAATCGAACAATTATTTGTTCGATTTTCCAAAAATCAGTTCAATATTTGAATTATCCTGTATAGGCATCGTGTCAAAAATTGAACTGATAGAGATAGATATATTACAATATTATTAGTCACATTTTGCAGGCTTTATATACACTCATGACAAAAATTTGAATACGAGTATAGATATGAATAACACGCCGCATAGCGGTAAACGACTGAACTATACTATTTCAAATAATAGAATTTTGTAATACTTTGTCATATTCTGCTTGGTTTTTGCTGCCAATATGCCATTAGATTGTGCACGCCAGATCTTGCTCAGTTCATGCCGACAATCTGATGCCAGTCTGTCAGTCATGTCAGCAACCTTTGCTCGGTTTCCGCCACCAATTTACTGTCGGGTTATGTCGGCAACCTTTGCTCAATTTTTGCCGTCAATCTGCCAGCTTAATCGGTAATAACAACTTTTGTACCCAATTCGTAGCCTTTTTGCTGACAATAATTTGTAGCAGACCTTGCCAAAATCTGTTAGAACAGACTTGGCTAACTGGGTAATTGATAAATTTAATGATAGAATTTATATAAGTAATGTTATAGTATTTTTTAGGTCCATTTTGCTGAAGATATGTGGGAGAAACCTCAAATCGATGGGAAAAAGAAGTTGAAACACAATGCTGTGCCAACAATTTTTCCCACTGTTCAAAAAGAAAAAGAAAATAAGAAAACCCCTCACAACTTCAACCCCTTCAACCCTTATACAAAGTACAACGTGCAAGATACTCAAGAAAGGTCTATTCAATTTAGTTTTGATGCTATTGCAGCAACATCAAACTCAGATGTTAATGAATCAACGTTGGAACCAGCTTTATTACAAATAGAAGAGCTGAAAAGAAAGCTCAAAGAAGCAAATGAAAAACTGCAAATCGCCGACACAGTTCTTTACAAAACTGAGAAAACGAAAAAAATCCTGTTGCAACCAATAAAAAAATTAAAAAGCCAAAAGAGACTACGCATTGAAAAAAGTTTGTTAAAATCCTCAGAAATTTTACGGAAGGTTTTCAACAATGACCAAATCGAATGGCTTCAAAAAGATTCCCCCATACGGGGAGTTTATAAATGGTCTGAAGAAACAATTAGAAAAGTACTTAGATTAAAATTTTGTTGTTCTGAGAAGGGCTATAAAGAACTCATAGCATAAAATATTCCTTTACCATCAACACGTACACTCAGGAGAAGCATTGTAACACTTAATTTTTAACCAGGGATATGTGATGACATCTTTGAAGCTTTAAAAGACAAAGTATCACAATTTCAGGATGATAGAGAGAAGGATTGCATGTTAGCGCTCGATGAAATCAGTCTTGCACCTGGTGAACAAAATGATGCATCAACAAATTTTCTTATTGGATATGCTACTATTTCTAATAGTCATGGTAAATTTATGAAATCATTCTAACTTCATGCTATTTTTGTGTATAAAGTTTTCATTTTTATTTTTTTATGTATGTGTAGGTTGAACTTCTCTACTTGTCTTTAATATGCATACTTTTTATCTGTCTTTATCTGTTTGTCTATTGGTTTTCTATACTAGGAGAAAAACCCCTAGCTACGCATGGTTTGGTTTTTATGCTTGGTAGTATATTTAATCGATGGAAGCAAATAGTTGCCTATCATTACACTCCTGATGGATTTGATGGTGCACACTTAAAACCTATTTTGGAAAAAATTATTGAAAAAGCCGAGTCTATAGGTCTTTATGTACATAGTGTTACATCGGATATGGGGGGAGTAAATCGAGCAATGTGGAGAGCTTTTGCGAACATTTTTGCTGGCAAATATTCAAAAATTCAAAACTCTATCTCTCATCCAATTGATGATAAACGTAAATTATTCTTTTCTGCCGATGGTCTACATCTCATCAAGAATCTTAAAGCAACTTTAATTAATAACAAAGTTATTACGTTGCCAGATCATTTTTAAAAATATAATGAATTGTCTTCAGGCATTGTTCAATTTACTCATCTAGAGGAATTAGTAAATGAACAAGAAAACTTGCTTTTCAAGCTTACATCAAAAATAAACAAAAATGTTATCACATCGACAAATTTTAATAAGAGGAAAGTTAACAAAGCAACTAATATAATAAGTAGAGATGTTAGCAGTGCATTAAATTTTTTAGGACAAGAACAAAAGAAAGATGATTATAAAACGACAGTTTTATTTATTGAAATAGCTTCGAAATGGTTTACATTAATTACCTCGCGAACTCCATTAGTGGCATTAGGAAAAATAACAAAAAATGAAAAATCTGAGAAAATATTTAATGAAAAAATCAAATTTCTAGTCTGTTATTGATTTGTTTCGAGAAATGGAAATTGGTAAAGACAAAAAATTTAAACCTGTGCAAACAGGTATCATGATAACAACGCAATCTCTCATCAAACTTACAAAGTATCTAATTAATGATCGAGGATACTTATATGTATTAGGAGGGCGATTTACTCAAGACTGCGTAGAGAATTTGTTCTTTAACATTAGAAAAAAATTTCCTGTTTCAAACACGTTACAATTTAAGCAGAGTTTAAAGATTTTAAGCGTGTCCCAATATTTACAAGAATTAGAAAATACTAGTTATGAGCAAGATGACGGTGTCTTGATCTCTCATTTCTCCTTGACAAGAAAACGTCCTTGTAAAACAGATATAAGTCAAATGATTCAAGAGGTTCCTGTAATTCCTCTTGAAGCTGAAAGCAGGCTCATTCATTTGGACAATTTTGAAATGAATTCATTGTATTACGCAAGCGGTTATATTCTCTCTAGGAGTTGTAACACAAATATAATTTGCAATAATTGTTTAGATTCTGCAGGATCAAAAACATATGATCCTAATATAAACTTTTCAAAATTAGTGCACCTTAAATGTTATAGAACAAAGACATTATTTTTCGTGGTAAATCACATGTGTATAATTTTATATATATAATATTCCTAGAACATGTAGAGTAAAAAATGAAGACACTTTTTGTATCGTATATATATCGTATATACATATATATTGTATATATATAATAACGAAGCTATCGAATAAATTTATTAGAAACTCGATTGTGTTCTATGTGTTGTTATCTATTTAAGATTTCAACTCGATATTATAATATACATTTACTCTTCTTTTCACATCGAATGCAGTCAGATTAAATGATTTATATTGCGTTATCGAAAAGAAATGTATTATTTGGATAGTGGAAAAAACCTAAAAAAATATTTATGAAACCTTTTCGATTTATTTAGCTTTGTACAGATTTGCTACACATTTATTATTGTTAATAATATCATTGTATATTTGTATTTATTTAAAGATGTTAATATATACTACAAAAAAGAATGATATCTCTAAAATCTTACCTTTTTTAAAAAAGGTAAAAAAAAGCGCCAAGTACACGCGCCACTTGTGAAAAACTGTATTTATATATATTTATGAAATAGTGTTATTTTAAATTATTGGAAATAAAAACTTATAAAAATATTTTAACCAAAAGAAATTGTACAAATATATCCTACAAAAATAATGATATCAACAAATTGCGTCAACTGAAAATAAAAATTAAACAAATATTTTAACCGAAAACAATTGTACAAAATAACTGTTTTAATTTCTATAAAAAATTAAAAATTTATACAAAAATCAAAAATTAATACAAATAAAAGAAAACTTTAATTAAAGCTA